CCTATCCATGTCGTAATGGTGGCCCGTGAAACACGCCTCCAACGGCTCCTTCAGCCTGACCAGCTCACTGTCGGACACAAAGGTCGTGGTTGGAGCACCGGAAGTGGGAAAGCTAAGGGGGTGTTGGCGGTAGTGTTGTCCAGACTGAAGTTGCCAATGCCCAATATTGAGCTGTTCATAACGGGAGCTGTTTCATTGTAGTGATGGGGCAGCATCTTGACGGCCCAGTACAAGGCCATGGTACCCGCGGTGAAGCCGACGGCGACGGCAGGCCACAGGAAATAGGGGCGTAACAGGAGGGAGGGGCGGGGGTCGAAGAGAGTCCTCCACTCCTTGGATGCGTGCTTCAAGAAGTTCTGGACCTCCTCCGGCTTCAGCTCGCCCGAGTAGACCACAGAGACTTGGTCGCCGCCGGTGTCTCGTTCCAAAAGTTCGATGGGTCGCGCGCCGAAAATATCGCGAACGAGATCGTCGCAGCCCTCGGGCTGAGTGGTGTCCAACCCCAACCGAGTCAGTCGCTTCATCAGCTGGCCAAACACAATCCCTTCCACCTGCGACATGGGACCCTCGGGGTCTGCCGCCTCGGGGTCTGCCGCTTCGGGGTCTGCCGCCTCGGGGTCTGGCACCCCCGACGATTCTCCTGGCAAACAGAACTTCAGTCGCTTGAATTCTTCAAACCAGTCGAAGCTGTGGGAGACGACCATCGGAATCTTTCCAGTCCCTTCCGAATCCTCAGCCAAGTACTCCTTACTCTGCAACATATCAAACACGTCCGGCGGTGCCGCCGCCACCGCATACGCCACCGCGCCCTGCTCTGTTGTAAAGTACACCATGCGGGGCACACACCCCGCCGTGTCCGGCCTGGTGCCGTCCGACCTCAGGAGCACCGCCAATAACGCACTCGTTTTCGCGGAACTCGACTGTGTATTCGTCATGTGCCGCATTTTATCCTCGTTCTTAAGTTCGTTCCGAACCTCGCAACAAACCCCCCCAGGGAAAAAAAACGGCCGCTGCAAACAGTCAACTCACATGATTCGAGAGAGGGCGCGCGGTCGCTGACCCTCCGGGATGCAAGTCCCCAGACCCTCCGAGCAAGGACTCCAGCACTTTGTATCAATGCCCTTTCAGGCCGGTCCTCTGTTGACTTGATCTGACCAAGTCGGATACGGGTGTGTTTATGTTCGACGACTTGACTAGGCCACTGCTTGGACGGCTGCCGAGTGGTCGGGGAGCTGGTCGGGGAAGTGGTCGAAGAAGTGGTCGGGGGAGTGGTCGGGGAAGTAGTTGGGGCGGCAAGTCGGAGAGCCGGAAGTAGGAGAGCTGGAAGTAGGAGAGCCGGATGTAGGAAAGCCAAGAGCACGAGGGCCGGAAGTGGGAGAGCTGATTGTGCTCTTTAGCAAGCCAATCGTCTCCGTCAGGGGGCTGCTGATGCCCAGTGTGGCCTTGTCGACGCTAGGGGGGGTGTTGGCGGTGGTGTTGTTCAGACTGGAGTTGCCGATGCCCAATATTGAGCGGTTCATGATGGGAGCTGTTTTAGTGTCGTGATGGCACATCATCATAAAGACCCAGTACAAGGCAATGGTACCCGCTGTGAAGCCGACGGCGACGGCAGGCCACAGGAAACCGGCCCATGACCGGGTGGAGGGGCTGGGGTCGAAGAGAGCCCTCCACTCTTTGGATGCGTGCTTCAAGAAGCTCCGGACCTCTTCCGGCTTCAGATCGCTCAAGTAGACCACAGAGACTTGGTCGCCGCCGGTCCCTCGTTCCAATAGTTCGATGGGTCGCGCTCCGAAAATATCGCGAAGGAGATCGTCACAGCCCTTGGGCTGAGTGGTGTCCAACCCCAACCTAGTCAGTCGCTTCATCAGCTGGCCAAACACAATCCCTTCCACCTGCGACATGGGACCCTCGGGGTCTGCCGCTTCGGGGTCTGCCGCTTCGAGGTCTGCCGCCTCGGGGTCTGCCGCCTCGGGGTCTGGCACCCCCGACGATTCTCCTGGCAAATAGAACTTCAGTCGCTTGAATTCTTCAAACCAGTCGAAGTTGTGACGGACGACCATCGGAATCTTTCCAGTCCCTTCCGAATCCTCAGCCAAGTACTCCTTACTCTGCAACATATCAAACACGTCCGGCGGTGCCGCCGCCACCGCATACGCCACCGCGCCCTGCTCTGTTATAAAGTACACCATGCGGGGCACACACCCCGCCGTGTCCGGCCTGGTGCCGTCCGACCTCAGGAGCACCGCCAATAACGCACCCGCTTCCGCGGAACTCGACTGTGTATTCCTCATGTGCCGCATTTTATCCTCGTTCTTAACTTCGTTCACAAACCCCCCACCCCTCACAACCGCCTTGGTTATGAGTGGTTTATAGACCGTCTGAACTGTTGCAAGGCTACCTTGCGTTGTCCGCGATTGAAGCCCGAGCTCGCTGTCGGCGCTGCGACATCCTCACGCCAGCGCGACCGCAATCCTCAGCAGGCTCAGTCAGCTCTGCGCCTGTGTCCTGCTGGAACTCGACCTCGACCCCCTTCACGAGGGCCCACCACGGTTCCTTCTACCCCTCTGTGGTTCCACCCCTCTGTTCGCAACCACAATGGCTGCGTGGCCTCCACTGTCCTGCTGTGGCGCACCGACCTTTCTAGCACTGACCTCGGGGCCACAGTTCTTTTGCTTCTGACGCATCGATCGACCGAGTTCGGGTTAGGGAGACTAGACGGCGTCCCCCACACCTTCCATCCCCAATAGCACTCGACCAAATGTTGTAAAGCGAAGACAAGAGGTTGCTGACACACAGTGCGCCCACCGTGTCGTTGTTTTTCGGGATCACGCCAGACGGAACCGCATCGCTGCCAGCAGCACCGCCTCCGTGCGCGTGGCTCTTCGGTCGCAACACCACCATCCAGTCCCAGTTCTCGAACCGATCATAGTCCTCCCCGCCCGCCTCCTCATCTTGGGGGCCAACGCGAGTATCGTCGCCTCCTGCGAGTATCGTCGCCTCCTGCGAGTATCGTCGCCTCCTGCGAGTATCGCCGCCACTTGCGCCACACAACGGCCCAGTTCCGTTCAGCTACCATCCGGAAGCGTCATACCGACAACAACTCCCTCCGCGACACACCACTCACTTCGCTCTACGCATTTTCGACCAGCCCCCAAAAAAACCCTAACCATCAGTCAGCCGTCACGGTAAGGGGACGAGCCAGGTTGACTCGACCCCTTAGACCCCTGTTTGTGCCCCCAAAAGAATTCCCGGTACAGACACAACACGCACACGGCGAGGGCCTGCGACAGCCTTCAGGCTCTTCGGTGGCGAGGGCCTGAGAATCTAACAAGCTCTTCGTCACTCTCCACCCGCTTTCGTATCCGAGGGATTTCACTGCTTCCTCCCCGGTTATCCTTTCCAAGATGTTCTTTCCAACGTCTTCCCGTAGGTTCGCCAGCCAGTCTGCCATCACATTATCTGTACCGCTCAATTACTCGAGTCAAACTGCTGGAGGAAAAACGGCCACCTTGCCAGCTTGCTAGAATTGGCCAAGTACAACAGGTTCTGATGGTAAACGATGCAGCACAGAAGTAGTCCTGTACAACGTCATCAACGCCTTGCCTAGTTCTCTCTCCGACTTCGGATCAAATGCCATCACATCTCTTTTTCAAGAGAATTTTTGCAAGGGAATTTCGTCGATGAGGACTTTAACAGCTTTAAAGCCGATGGGGGGGTTTAAGCTGTTGGTGGCTGTGGCAATAAAAAAGGGGCTCCAGTCAGAGCTTGGCGACCAGACGAGCGCTAGGTTCTTGACCTTTGGTGGGAAGGGTGAGAGCCAAGTGCATGCGGTAGCACTAGGGTCAGAGACCGAACTCCAGGAGCTCGATGTCAAGCTCAAGACTGGACGCGTGCCAGGATTGGACCCGTACAAGCTCGTGTTCAAAAGCGTCAGCAGACTCAAGGTTTTCCCTACCCCTGAGGGAACTGCCCGGTCCCTTGTGCTCAAGAGCCTAAAGGAGTTCTTGGATGAGGAGGCCGTGGAGAGCGAACTCAGGAAACAGTTTTGGATAGATGCTTTCGGTGAGATTGAATCCGAGACAGTTGGTGAGACTGAATCCGAGACAATTGGGGAGATTGAATCCGAGACAATTGGTGAGACTGAATCCGAGACAATTGGTGAGGACACTGGCGATAGTGAGTTGCAAGTATTTATGAGAAAGCTACAGAAGGCAGAGTTGGCGGAGCTGTTGCCGAAAGTGCAACAAGACTGGTGGGAGAGTATGGAAAGGTCGGCGGTGAGTTCATGGGCAGAGTGGTTGGGTCTCGAGACCCTGCGCGAGGCTTTCTTCAACAGTTGCTCAATGCGAACGGTGGTGGGCGTTGCGTTTCTGGCGGCTGCAGGGTACTACATCCTTTACCTTCCCTGCTTGAGCAATGGCACGGAGCGGACGATGTCTGATGTCGAGTCGACAATGACCTCGTCCAATGACACGACCATGTCGCCATACTCTTTTTGTGGCGAAGTGGCTGGGACGGAAAAGGCCCTATGTATTGAGGATCAGCCTTTGTGCGTTCTGCACATTGAAGAAGGAAATAGGTGTGTCGCCGTTAGGTTCGATAATGGTGATGATCATATGACTCTCAAGGACATGGATGAAATTTTCAGGTGGAGGAAAGGATTTTCCGTCTGCCGATTGAGTGGCCGCTGTACTACTCCTTTTCGAAAGGTCAAGACAATGAAAGCTCTTCCCCCAACTCAAACGCCGCTCATACCATTCTTGCCCTGCGTCGATGAAACCGGTTTGGAAAATAAGATATGTGTTGAAGGTCATCCTATTTGTGTAACCGACCCGTCAGATCCTGAAAAGAGGTGTTTGCGAATAACTGTACCCCTCACGATAGATGATATCAAATCAATCATAATGGACGGCTGGAAGATTTGCGAAATGGATCAGACTTGTAATGTGAAAACGTACCGAGATGAGGGAGGTTGAAAAGGCGAGTACCAACGGAAATGGGAGGTCGCCTTCAGTCTGGAGCCATTGGGAGGTCGTCTCCCAATGGAAGGTTTTAGTCGTTCCTTTTTAAAGAAACCAGTTTTTTAAAGAAACGAGTTTATGTATAAGGAGCCTCCTCGCACAGCGAGACTGGTCTATCGTATGCGCGTGGTGTCCACGTCCACCAGTTAAAAGTGACCAGGTGTCAAGGGCGAGGGACGCGGTAGCATTGGGGTGGGATGAGAAGGCCGTAAAAACCCAGATCAAACATCAGATTTGGCTGGATGCTTTTGGTAAGTGTGAATCCAAGACTGAGTGGGAGACAATTGCTAGAGGACACGGGCGTTGCTGGGGACACGGTCGGTGGTCAGTTAATGGGCAGAAAGCGGTCTTTACGACTGCACGATTATTTACCCAGCCTCCCGAGCAGACAACTGCATTGTCGGGCTTGATTTTTGACCGGGAGAATGACTTCAGAAGCGGGAAAGTTATTCCCAAACTAAGACACTTCCTGGCTAGAAGGGTTGATCACAAAACAAATAGTCGCGCTCTCTCGCAAGAAACACATCAAGTTGACCTCCAAGTTGAAGACTGGGGATCGCCACCCAGCTCTCGCGTCTCCCAACAGCCATGATCAAATGTCTTCCCGACCGGAGGCACGCACCCGACAGAGGGTGGCGGAAAAAAAATCAGAATTGTTTCTATCAGAATTGTTTCTACCAGAATTGTTTCTATCGTACTTTAGAAGTCGTGCTTTAAAATGTTGAGTCGGTTGTACATGGTCCAGAACAACCTCAGGTGCAGGCTCGTACGACCCCCCC